TCACGAAGTCTGCTACATCTCTCTTCATTCCTCGCCACCAGAACGACCTTCTCAGGTCGTGGTACATCTTGGTACTCCCAGGGTAGGCTAAATATGGCGCACTGTGGGCCTCAGTCAAGATTTCCTTGCGTAAAGTCTCGACTTTTGGCACGACAATGCGGCCTTTCAACTCCAAGGCTCCATCTGTGCCTCGGTAAAAGCCCTCTATGCCTCCGGCGTGAACCTTCGCTTCTAAAGTGCGAATGAACTGATCGCAGGATTGCTCTCGCCGGATTCTATCTCTCAGCATGGGCTGAACTTGCATCGAGCTAACACTCCCCGAAATCTCCTTAGGACATGAGTCGAAGACCTCAATCTGCATCCGGGAAAACTCTCTAATAAGCTGGCGCTGGTCGGTGATAGCACAAACTGACTCACCCCTCACCTTTCGGCTTAGGGCGTCTGCTACCACGTTCGCCTTCCCCGGATGATACTGTATGGTGCAGTCATAATCCTTCACAAGCTCCAACCATCGCCTCTGGCGCATGTTGAGCTCCTTCTGTGTGAAGATATACTGCAAACTCTTGTGATCGGTAATTATCTCGCATCGACCACCATACAGATAATTGAGTGCATGCACAATCGCTGCCAACTCTAGGTCGTGCGTAGGGTAATTCTGCTCATGTGGCTTCAACTGACGTGAAGCGTATGCAACGACTTGGCCATCTTGCATTAGCACACACCCAAGACCCTGCTTCGAGGCATCACTATAGATGGTGAAACCTCGAGTAGGATCCGGAATAGTCAGCACTGGAGCCGTCGTAAGCCTCTTCTTGAGCTCCTGAAAGCTCTCCTCACAATGACTCGTCCACTCAAACTTTACAGATTTCCTCGTTAACTTGGACAAAGGGAGGGCAATCTTCGAAAATCCCTTGATAAATCTGCGATAGTACTCTGCTAGACCGAGAAAACTGCGAACCTCGGTGGGACTTCTGGGTGTTGACCAATTCCGAACTGCGGCAATCTTCGCCGGATCAACCTCTATGCCTCTCTCGGTGATGATGTGGCCTAGAAATGCCACTCGCTTCAGCCAAAATTCACACTTAAAGAACTTGGCGTACAGCTTTTCTCACCTAAAAGGGCCCTGAGAACAACCCTCGGATGCTGCTTATGATCCTCCAAACTCTTGGAGTAGACCAAAATGTCATCAATGAAGACGATAACAAATTGGTCTAAGTACTGATGGAACACACGATTTATCAAGTCCATGAACACCGCTGGCGCATTGCTCAGACCAAACGGCATAACCACGAACTCGTAGTGCCCATATCTCGTCTGGAAAGCAGTCTTGACTACATCGGACTCCTTAATCTTCAGTTGATGATAGCCTGAGCGTAAATCGATCTTGGAAAATACGCAAGCTCCTCTCAGCTGGTCAAACAAGTCGTCCATCCTGGGGAGGGGATACTTATTCTTCACCGTTAACCGGTTGAGATCCCGATAATCGATGCACATTCTCATGGATCCGTCTTTCTTCTTGACGAATAGGACGGGTGCTCCCCAAGGTGAGACTTGGTCGGATAAAATCGAGTTTCAACAACTCCTCGATCTGCGTCTTCAGCTCCTGCAACTCCTTCGGAGCCATTCGGTATGGTGCCTTAGACACCGGTCATGCTCCTGGAACAAGATCAATGGTGAACTCCACCTGCCTGCTGGGTGGTCCTCCTGGTAGCTGATTTGGGAACACATCCACAAACTCAAGCACAACTGAAACGTCATGAGGTGTCTGTGCTCTCGATCCTTCATCGACAAGGCTCACCAGGTAACCCTGACAATCTCCTCTGTGCAGAATCTTCCTCGCCTTTGCCATCGAAACGACACGAGGTAGGGTTCGCGTCTTCGAGCCCAAAAACGTGATCTGACTGTCCTTCGGAAGATGAAGAATAACCTCTCGATTGTGGCAACGAATGTTCGCTTGATAACGCATCAACCAATCCATACCGAGAATGAGGTCAAAATCTCTCATCTCGATAACATAAGCTTCGGCCTTCAAGATTCGGCCGCTAATACTAAGGTTAAGGTCCTCTGCCTTGGAGCTCGTCGCTATCTTCCTTCCCGAGGCTAGACTCACCTCTAGAGGGTCAACAGTGTTGATGGGCTGAACTCCAATGGCCTCTACACATCGAGTCGACACAAAAGAGTGCGTTGCACCGTTGTCTAATAAGGCAAATATAGACACATCATTCAAAATAATCATCCCAGACATAGTACATGGGTTTTTCTCTACCTCAGCCTGCTCGACTGCATAAACCTGTGCTTGCTGTCCTCGCCTCTACTGCTGAGGCGGCCTCTGCTGCTGCTGTCAGGGCTGCTGCTGCTGCTGCCTATCCGGACAGTTCCGGATGGTATGTCCGGGCCTCCGACAGTGAAAGCAGACGTTCTGCTCAGCAAGACACTCTCCGCGGTGTGGGCGTCCGCATGTGCCACATGCTGGAACCTGTGGCTGTCTCTACCTGTTCCTCCAGTCATCCTGCTGACCCTTCCACTTCCTCTTGTTCTTAGGCTTCGCCTGCTGGACAGGCGCTGGCTGAGCTGGCGACAATATCGGATACTGAGCTGGGGGCAACACTGGGGGCTGAACTGATGGTTGTACTAGATCCATCCTGAGACTGGCGTCTGTCTCCTGGGCCTTAGCGACGACATCGGCGTAAGACTGGACGCCATGTCCCGCTATGTGGTGACGGATAGCTGGCAGTAATCCATCACGGAACCGTCTCGCCTTCTTCTTCTCGGTGTCCACAGATAAGGGACAAAGGACCCAAGACGAACAAACTCCCGCTCGTACTCATCCACGGAGCGGTGGCCCTGCTTAAGCGCCAAGAACTGGCGCTCTATCTCAGCCTTGTAGGTATCCGGGTAATACTTCTCCCGTAGCATCTCCTTGAACTGTGGCCATGTGAGGTTCTCCTTCTCACTAGGGCGCATGCCCCAGTAGGAGTTCCACCACAGCCTGGCGTCTCCTGTCATCTGGACCTGGACACACAGAATGTTGTGCCTCTCGGAGCACTCGATGATCTTGAAAATGGCCTCGAGACCCTGGATCCACTCATCAACTAAGCGAGGATCTCCCTACCCCAAAAACTTATCTGGGTTGTAGCCGCAAAACTGGGCGACTACCTCAGCCTGGATCATCTCTCTCTGAGCTTGGTTCGGACGACGGGCCATCTGAGAATAAGCCGCGTAACTGGTCAGAACAGGAGATGAAATTGAGTAAGGCTGAAAGGAAATGCTGAATACTGGAATAGGCACAAATTTCTTGACGAGTTGCTGAAAATAACTCGATAATCTAGAGTTCGAATCTAGAGTTTTGAATTCTGATAGAGGACATATCTGATACTGCTAGGAGTCTTATACTGATCTGAGCATCTAAAGTTCGGATTATCTGAATCCTATTGAGCATAGACATAGTACAATTTGCTTATCTAAACTTTGAAAAACTTTTACAGCATGCACTTACTTACCTGGTAGTCGGCGCGGCGTGAGTGTGGTGTGGTCAGGTTTTTGTAAAATTTCTTGTCTTTGAAAACATTCAGAAGCACAAAAGTGCTCTGATACCAACTGCAACATCCCTCTACTTAGGGCCAATTTTTTCGCAAATGTTACCCTCGAAAACGCTTATAAATTTTTCACAATCATTTGCAAACTTATCTCGGGATGCAGCTAAAAACTTATTTGCTTTGAAAATCCGTTTTCCTTAACTACGTCTATCAACTGGTTTAGACTTTAAGAAAATCAGATTTAAATCTTTTATCGAATCTTGCATTTTTAACTGGTCCTGTTCGTACTAGCGAACTGGGTAAATTATTTAAGTCTGAAAGTACTGTCATGCAAGTTCGAAATAAAAGCAAGCATAGCGGAAAGTCTGAAAATACGTGAAAATATTAGTTATACAAAACATGATAACAAATGTCCCTGGAATGGCTCACTGTGTCATCTCCACGACCACAACCACCACAGCTCGACTCACGCCTGCCCGCCGACTCTGCCATCTGAAAATATAAAGTGGGGGTGAGTACGGTCCACTTGTACTCCATAAAAACCCATTCTAATGTAAACAACAATAATAATAATGATATCACAGAACGGGTATATATAAGTAACTGAAACTCCCGGACACTATGGCCGGTAACTGTAATCTCCCGAACACTCTGGCCGGTAACTCCTGGACACTCTGGCCGGTACCGTGTGCACACTCTGATGGTATATTTAAGGCAAACTTGGCCACCACCAGAACTAAGGGAAGGACAACTCGGCCTTAACCCCAAGCGGATAAAACTCATATACATACCTGAATATGATATCGACTATTATACTCAATGTATAACCCAGACTGGGTCCCCACCTGATCTGCTTTGAAAATAGGTAAGTGCGACTGTGCTGGTAGCTGACTCCTCAAGCTACATAAGAATATAAGCAAACAAATATACTAAGTACTATGCTCGTCATATGCTCAATAATATGCTAGGATGCTCTACTCTATCAGATTACTCATCCGGATAAAAAGGAACGCTCTTTGGGTTCCCTAAAATAATTCTAATTTCGGAAATTTGACTGATACGCTTAACTAATTTGGTTTGGCTCGAAAAATTACTTAAATTTCAGAATAAGACTCAGACCGAAAATCACGAACCAAAACTAACTCGAACCGCCGGCTAAACCGAGAAGGGACATGGATGTCAAAGGGTCAAGATAGGACGACATTAGGTCATAATAACAGCGGGGCTACTTATAATAACCTAGAAATGGGACAAGTGCGACTCATTAGATGAATGCATGCCGAGCATACGCGCTTAATGTGGTCAGGCTCACTCGATGTTCATGTACCAATTTCTTTATTTC